GTCCCCGCCGCCGCCGCCGCCCTCCTCCTCAGGCCAGTCGCTGGGCTCCGCGCAGCTCGCGCCGGGCCGCTCCGTGTTGTCCGTGCACTTGAACGCCGCCCCCTCCGCCGCCAGCCCCTTCTGCCGGTACCAGCCGCCCGGCACCAGCCGCCAGTTGTCGCACTCGTCGCACGCCACCCACTCCCACCCGGCCGGCGCGTCCTGCCGGCCCTCTGCGGCCAGCGCCTTGGACTGCTCCAGCGCGGCCCGCAGCGCGGCCGCGTACGCGGCCGGGTCGCCGCGCGCGGCCTCGACGGCGGCCTCCGCGGCCGCCTGCTGCTGCAGGAGCAGCTGCTGCTGCGGGTCGACGGCGGGGGCGGCGGCGGCGCCGGCGTCCTCTGCGGCGACGGCCGCCTCGGCGTGATCGATCTGGGCCTGCTGCGCCGCCACCAGGCCCTGCGGCGTGGCGGCAAAAGGGAGCCGAGGGCGCGGTCAGGACGTTGATGAGCACACGAGCTCCGGCGGTTGGCTGCAAACGGTGGGCCCAAAAGGAGGCCGTCTCAGGGGTTTCGATGGTTGGGCCCGCATCCCGGTGGTCCAGCATGCATCGCCATGATGCCATCGCCTCAAAATCCCATCACTCACCCAGGCCGCACGCCCGCCCGCGCCGCGCGCGCGCGCGCCGCCGCCCCCCAGGCCCCGCTCACCCGCGCGAACGCCATCATCCTCTCGGCGATGTCCGGCACGGCGACCGCGCTGCACTTCCCGTGGTCCTTCTTGTTGTAGTGGCAGGCGTTGACGCGGATCTGGTCCATGTCGGCCAGGAAGGCGGCCGCGGTGGCGTAGGCGCCGCGGGATAGGCGGGTGCGGATCTTTTCGAGCCACATCTCGTCCTCGGGCTTGACCCACTCGTTGTAGTCGAAGACCAGGTTCTTGCGGACCTGCGGGTGCGTGTGTGTGTGTGTGTGTGTGTGTGTGTGTGTGTGTGTGTGTGTGTGTGTGTGTGTTAATGTTTTTGAAATTTTGCCACCAAAAGCCCTCAGTTTTGAGGAGGTGGGGCAGCTGTGTGGGTGAGAGGGCAAGTGAATGACAATTGCGCTCTCTGGAGCTTTTGCGGCTGGAAACGCGCGCTCGACTGGGTGCTATGCAGAGGCCAGGCAATGCTCGCCGCCCTGCGCTTGGCAGAGGCCCGCCCGCACGAGATTGCGACTTGTCCGCCCCTCGCCAAGCGTCCCTCGTCCCCGCTTCTCCCCCTCGCCCTGTCGCGCCTTTAAAACGCCCAGCCCAACGCGCCCGTCCGCCCCCGCTATCCCCGGTGCCGCCCTCTCGCCTGCTCCTTGAAGATGTTCCTGTAGGCCTTGTGCACTACGTTCGCGTCCACCTTCTGCCACTTGAACACCTCCAGCAGCACGCCCTTCAGGAGGGCCGTCAGCACCCTCCTCGCCGCGCCGCCGCCGCCCCCGCCGCGCTCGTAATACTCCTCGACAGGCGCCGACGCGAGCGCCGCGGCGCCGCCGCCCCCGCCGCCGCTGCCGGCGGCCGCGGCGCGCGGCCGCTTGGCGCGGGGCGTGTCGTCGTCGTCGTCCGGCTCTGGAGTCGGCTCCGGTTCGCTGCTGTAGTAATCGCCGTCATCCTCGGAGTCCGACGCGTCGGACGCATCGTCATCAACGACGAACTTCGCCTCGCGCCCCCTCTTCTTCCCGCCGAAGCCGCCGCCGCCGCCGCCGCCGCCCTTCTTGTGCCCTTTCTTGCCGCCTTTTTTGTTGGGGTGGTGGCCGGGGCGCGGCGGCGGGGCCTGGACCGGGGGCGCCCACTCGTCGTCGGGGCCGGCCTTGATGCCTGGGGGGCGCCTGGGGGTGGTGATTGCGGGCTTGACGTGTCAGATGCTTGCATCATGGTGCTGGTGCGCGCGAGCACGGTGCTTTAAGGGGTGCACAAGGTGGCTCAAGCATCGCAAGAGCTTGCAATATGGGCGGTGTGGCGAAAGAGGCACGCAGGGGGGCAAGCAAGCGAGCGTGCGACCAGAATCTGCGGGCTTTGACACCCGTGTGAGGCGGCTTTCAGGAGCCAGCGGCGCACAACAGCTACGCTGAGAGCAGAAGGTGAGGAGGGGCTGGCGCAGACGCGGGCATGGCGCGAGAACTGTGAAGAGCACCCTGAAGACCGCGCTCACTTGGCCTTCGGCCCACCCCCGCCGCCGCCCCCGCCGCCGCTTGGCGGCGCGTACGCCGCGTGCGCCGCCGCCTGCGCCGCCGCTGCCGCCGCCGCCACGGCCTGCTCCCTTGCCGCCGCAGCCTGGCGCCGCCGCTCCTGCTCCTCCTCCTCCTCCATGGCCGCCTTGGCTGCCACGGCCTCCAGCCCCGTTGCGGCCTCCTGCAGCAAAGGCTCGAGCGCGGCGGGCCGCTGAGCTCGCCGCTTGGGGCCGCCTGGGGGGGGGGGGTAGGGCGATGAGTGTCGTGTCATTTTGAACGCACTTCTTGCAGCGACCAACCACTGCTGACATGCGACGTTTCTAAACACCGGTGGGCAGCCAATGGAGCAGTGTCGAGCAGGAAGCTGACTGGAAGCCGCCGGGGCGCCCAATCGATGCCCACCCGTGTTGTGCGCGGCTGCCGCAGCTGCGTAGCCCCCGCCCCGGCCCCGGCCCCGGCCCCAAGCAGACACCGGGTGAGCGCACCCCCGCCCTCCCGCGGCTTGATGGTGCGCTCCCCGAAGCCCTCCTTTTGCCCATACAGCGCGTTGAGCGCCGCCGCACGGTCACCCCTGGCCAGAATAGAGGTGTTGCAACGTTGAAGACGGAGGTGTTAATTCACACTGGAAGCGCTGGGGCTGCAGCCCAAAAATAAGGTTGTGAAACTATTGCATACAATCGTCCTTGGGCCTCTGTGTTTCAACAACACGCAGCGCACCGCCGCAGCAAATCCTGGCGCCAGGCCGTGCCCTCCGCGGCGCGAGGAAGTAACCTTTGGGGCTCACCTGTAGAGGATGACGCGCGAGGTGCCCAGCGGACGCGCCGCCCAGGGCGGGTACCGGATGGTGCGCCGCACACGCCGTTCCCCCGGTGCCGCCTCCAGCTTGGGCCGCAGGTGCGGCGGGAGCACAGGGACCTAGGGCCGCGGCGGCGCGGCGGGCGCGCGCGGCGCTGCGAATGTCAGCCGCCTGAAGCGCCCGCTTGCGATGCACAAGCATCAGGATCACCCAGTGCGATCCTCCCCCTCCTCGCTTGGCCCTTGAATGTCTAGAAGCTAGGGCCCCTCAACCGCACTTCACACGCCAAAGCAAGCCCGACCAGCCAGCCCCTGCCATTTGCAAATCAGCGAGCCCGGCCCGCGCCCCCTCCGACCCCAAATCCCCCACCTTCGGCCGCCCGTCCGCCCCCGCGCCCGCGCCGCCGCCCGCGCCGCCCGCGCCGCCGCCGGCCCCGCCCTGCGTCATCGCCATGTACTCCGCCAGCTCCTCCCGCAGCCCCCCCGCCGCCCGGCCGGCCCCGCCGTTGGCCTCGCGCTCCGCAGCGGCGGCGGCGGCGGCCGCGACCATGTGGCCGCCGCGGCCGTGGATGACCTCGTCCGCGAATGGGTCTGGCTGGGCCCAGGTGGGGTCGGCGCCAGGGTCCTGGCCCTGGGCCTGGTCGAGGGCAGCCTCCTGCTCCCAGTCCTCGTTCAGGGCTTCCACCTTGGTGTGTGTGTGTGTGTGTATGTATCATGTATGTGTTTGTTATGTGTGTGTGTGTGTGTCTTTGTGATTATGATTGTGTGTGTATGTGATTTTATGTGTGTCAACGCGTGTGTGTGTGTGAATGTGTGGTGTGTGTGTGTGTATGTATGT